CCCCTTGAACTTATAAAATTGGATTCAATTTTAAATATGAAAACTAAAAGTACCTTGTAAAGAATAATGACAAAGGAGTTGATCAATCGTTATTGCACTATCCTCACCTGTAGACAGATAAAACCAAGATCTGGCCCAAGACATTCCCTGACGTACTGATTATCATGCTCATTAGGGCACCAGGCTCCTCCAGCAAGCATTCGAACGTGCATTTGTGTGATTCCGCTGGATTTCCGGAACCGGAACGAATGAGGCTTGGTCTGACCGCGAAAGTGACAGGGGGGAAATGATTCTGTATGACTCCCTTGAAGATGTGAACTACATCCAATTCTTCAGCCTGAAGATGCTGAGGCCTCCATCTCCTTTTTATCTCTCCCAAGCATTTCATCAAGTCTGTCATTTAGAAAGGGCAGAAATAAATGAATTAGTATGTGACATTCAGGATTGAACCAAATCAGTCTAAAAACTATTTAAAAAAAAAAAACATGAAATTACTATTTACTGTGCACGTATCCTAACCCTCAGGTAGCGGTTTACCTAGCTGAAGAGTTGATGAATATCTTCATGAGTGTGTCCAACTGGGTGGAAGTTGAATACCACCTTCAAAAAGGAAAACAAAATCGGCTCAAAGTAGAGCATTCCTAAACATCCGTTGGAAACATGGAATTATATTTAAAATGAAGCAAGCCTGAAAGTGTCACTCGCCTCTTCAAATATTCCTTCCTCATTGGTCATGGTGGCTAAACGCAAGCGCACCACGATACGAGGAAAGTATAGTCCCCTCGAATGTCCTCGATTACTTACACGAGAGATCTGTAATAGGAGCCTATACCGGATTGAAGCGGACCTTTTCCCCGAATTCAGAGGCGAAATGTGACGTAGTTAAGGACTGATTTTTCCATTGATATAGATGGGTGCGGAAATGTTGCACGCGAGTTTAAAGGCAGGCTGAAAATCCAGTGCATTTTCCGCCAAGTGCTCCTCTCGACACGCGTATTCTTTACCAGTCTCAAATCCCAGAACTCGAGCAATATTGCTTCCAAAAGTTACTATATCATCATGATGCTGCTCGTATATTTCAAAGCATATCAATCTGACGCGATTCGCTCTTACTCGAATACTCGAATTAGCTCATTGCATTTTTTTAAACGCTTTTGAGGACTGATTTTTCAGACTCTTGTTAATCTTTTCAATAATTGCGTTCACGTCCGAGTCATAACAACAGTCAACGGAAAAATCGATGTGCTCGAAGAGATTCTCAGCTTGTTCCCGGCATAGCGGGAGGAGAGGACAAGGAATTTCTCACTTGTTTCGACAATCCGTAATTTCCGATCGATCTCCGAAGGCAGCGACGCTTGAAGGACGACCAGAGGAGAGAGCTTTCGCTCTAGTTCTTCGGGATTGTCTCGCCCGGATAGAAGGATACGTCACTGTACTTTGTAGATACGTTTCGTGTCGCAACAAGAAATGAAATGCGAGGATCGTGAGACAGCACATATATATGAATTAATTGTTGCAAATATATTCAAAGACAGCAATCAAGTCAGAGAGGCAAGCGGCACGTCCTGGATCTGAGACATCGATGAAATAAACGTGCTCCACCGTTGCTCTAACATCTTAATCTCGCGGACTTCATTTATCGTTGGCACCATCGATCATCTTCGTAGAAATCTTTTCACAATCCATGGCATTCGGATCCGTGCATCGTGCACGGTTCACTCTGGATGATTTTCACTTGTGCAATTTCACCCGGAGACGCGAACGAGCGAATGTCGAAGGAATCTTCTTTCGCCCAAGTGAACACTCGACGACGATGATACTGTTTTGTTCGTGAAGTACCAGGTATGTCCGCTACTAGTGCCCCAAAGTTGGAAGAGGGAACCCTTGCTTCAACTCAAATTGGAAACCACTACCACTACCACCACAGAGTTTCTAGGCTGAAATTTACGTTCGCGTACTTCTTGGCGTGAATGTATGTTAATTAAGGCAATATCGACAGTAACGGCCTGGAGCCGACCCACACCCATAGTGGTTTTGGTAGTCTGAGAGCCACACAAGTCCCGCGTATGTGTGACAATTGCCGCCTGTAGCGTCGCATGGAACGGCCTAGTCGACTGGGTACTTCGGTCCCCTCGGCAAGTCGCTCTCATAGCATAAGCCTTGAAGAGTGATTGCCCCATTCCCAGGGCGCAGGTTCGAATTTATTTTTCTCTCCATTCCCTGTTTCGAACTCACATTATTTTCCTTGGGGGGGAGGGGGAGGGGGATTGCGGAGCGGGCCTCGTAACCTAGGTTTCCACCAAATCGATGGAATTCTCGACTGAAATGCCAGTTGGAGGAACCTTGCTCAACCCACCCTACGCCTCATAATTTCATTGGCTCAAATATGCATCTTAACCCAAAGTTGGCCCATCTATAGGTCCCCGTAGAATCTCCATGTCTTAAGTAACATCCGTGCACCAACAGTAAGTGGCATCTACAGAAAGGTAGTTAATATCATAAGAAAACCCAGGGGAAAAGTTAGTTTCGATGATCTCCGTCTTCCGCGATGGCTTTGGTGAGTGAACTCTCGCAATAGTTCTGTGCACCTAATTCTGACATGCATACGTTGTGAACCGTTTAGATGTTGATCCATGTTGGGTAAGAAGCCAATTATGGCGTCCTGTGGGTGATTCCTGGCGATGAAGACAGGAAAGCAGAATTTCCTTGGCTTTAGGTTTAATGAAAATGAATCAAACAATTTGGAATATATATCAGTTTTACATGTGAGATACGCCATGACTAGAATCTAATGATTTTTGTACGCCCGGCCCCACCTCCTTTCCCAATGAGCCACCTATGCACGACGTGCACATGGTAGTACCAATATCAACCAATTCAGGCACAGGCCATCTGTGGTTAAGTAGCATTTCTTTCTTGGAAAATCTTGGAATCAAGATCTTTCTTAGAAAGATTTTGTGAAATTATTCTTATTGCCTTATCCTAGGCAAACCCTGGATCTAGGCATAGCCTTCGATTATATTAATTCCTTAAATGTTCCGACTTAACAAAAATTGCACCTCCAACGACGAATCCTGCTCTTTGAACCTCTTTAAAAAAGGAAAACTACTGATATTAGAGGCTGTTTAAAATATGTATTTGGTTACTTACTTATGGACAACTTTTGAGTTTGCAATTAGTTATATCAATGAATTGAAAAAGAGTAGTCCAATGCAGCCTGATTCATTAATATGAAGGAAATCTATTGCTGGGAAAATTTTTTTCCTTTTCGTATTTTAATGCACTGATGAGTATACCTTTAATTCCACGAAATGGATTCCTGTGATAAGCCCCTAGCAACAAAAAAATTGAAAACGAAGCTGCACGGAAAGATATGTTTGTAAAACCATTCCTGATTCGAGGTCGTGCATTTATTCTTCGGTGCGTCTTTTGCGGCTTAGTTGCCTTTCTTCGGTGAGGAGTGACACGGACAGCTCGCTCGTAGAACAGAGAACATATATTTGTTTAAAGTCGATGCGTCATTGCAAATCAAGTGCGTCACAGACCTGGTAACGTGGCAACTCAGCGATGCAGTTATGCAGTTATGCATCAAGGATTCGGCGCAGCCAATTCTGACAGATAAAGAGTAAGGGGAGGTACCCCTCAGTATCGAAGTACTCAGTATAAGTACCCCTCGTACTTCCGTGAAGGTCTGGTCTCAACGACCCGGGCCTATTTCTCCAAGCTCGAAAGTCTACAAGTCTGCAAGTAATAATTAACAATGAGAACTAATTGTAAGTTTATTTTCCTGAAAACCTTGAAGGGAGCGCTCAAATTTGATAACTGAGGCGTCGAAGTTCAAAATTCCGCGAAAGAACGTGGCGTTCGAATCACATTGACCCCATTCGAGCACATTGACCCCATTCGAGCACATTGACCTCACGTTCACTTATAACTTTCGGTCGAATCGTCGAAGAAATGACCATAAAAGGAGAGCGTCTTGGAAGCGGACACCAACACGTAGGAGACATGAACCAAACCGGTTTTGGAAACATTAGATCAGATCAGATTAGAGTACCATCAGATTGCCATCATCCAAGACATATCCAAGATATTCATTCCGTATTTTTCCATCGTACCGAGTTGGAAATACATAGAAAGTACGCATTTTGTTTTCAGTCTTGCGATTGATTCATAACGTAATTCAGTGGAATATGGGAATGAGAACCTCATTTAGCGTTGGGTTGTGAAACGTTCGAAATACAAATACCACATCATCATTGCAGAAGTAATTCATTTTTGATCATACGTGCATTCCGAAAAAAAAAATTATTTTCGGCGATGAAAAAAACACATGTACTTTCTCACTTGCCCATACTCCCGCGATGGTTTCGGTCGAATCTCCCCTAGAAAACTTATATATTTTCAGATGTGAAGAAACAGCCTCAAAAGGTTATTTTCCTACGCGAAAGAGTTCCTTAGCAACATATATTTCAAACCGGGAGCACCTCGGTTGCTAAGCAACCAAAGCACTCCTGTTAAATAAATAAAAATGTTTGCGCGTGTGTGACAGCTCGAAGGTCGAACGCTTCGAGATATGAACTGGGGGTTTTAAACACAGCGATTTCTGACTTATTCCGTACTCCTCGTGTTTCATCATCTGCCCTACTTGTCGGGCGAAAATCCCGGTGTTTTCTTTTTGTTCCCTGAACTGAAGAGTAAGTTGAAAGCAAGGATATTTCAGGGCATCCAAAACAGAATTACAAACGCGAGCGCAGTTGACGATTCCAAAAGACTGGCACATGCCTTGCTTCCATCGGCTCACGAAACGATGGAAAACGTTACAATGCCGAAGAGGAAAACCTTAAAGGAGATAACAATCATATAGGGAAGTCGGTTACGTACCTGGGTTCTTGGCACCGAAAAGATTTCTTTTGCAATGAAAATGGGGAATGACTAAGTGAAACTCCATCTTGTCAATGCCACTCTCTAAGTCGGCCTTTTCCTCATCTGGCAGAGGGATGGGCGACTTCTTGACTCCGGTTTTGATTTCCTGCCTGTTTTGGGCTGGATCGTCCTCGCACATCCTCGTCTATCGTGCCGTGTCCCGAGGGCGAAGATACGGGAACGTGTCGCACCAGTTCCAAGCGAAGAGCTTCGAGGACTGCCCAGTGAAGTGTTCGAGGATCAACCCGTCTCGGCCTTGCCTGGCCTTCAACTTCAGGGAACAGAACGGATTTTGTCAGCTGATTCATACTGAGAAGAGCAGTCTAGCTCCCTCGGATGGATACCAGGCATACGTACAGTGTGGGCATACATATCATTCATGGCCATGAAGATGTCGGCTGATTTTCGGACATTCAAGTATTGAAATAATATTGGATCTTATCGATGTTGCTTACCATTAGACACTTTGCATTCGAACGCTTTAGAAATGTTAACGCACTTTGAATGATGACGCAATGTTTCATATGACAACTGAGTGTTAAGGTAAAAGCAAGGGTTTAACGCAGTGATGGGGGTAAATACCAGTCGTGTTGGTCCACCTGATGGGAAGAAGTCCAGCATTTAAAGTTGTTCTGTTGTATTTGCTTCCCTGATTCACCAGAATAGTGATCACTGTTGAAACTTGGACAAGCGTTCTAATACTTTGCATAAACAGGGGAACTCTCAATAATATTATGAGGTGGCTGACCATGACCTGTCATTGTGTAATATAATCCTAGTCGTATTAGTTCATTGCATGCATTTTGCAGTAACAGTAATGAATATCATGGACATGTTTGTATGCCTTCCTTCATGTCTTCTTGCCCCTTTTCCGTCACAAATGCAGTTCTCTGCTTGACGGATTCCCCGAGGATCGAGCACGCGAAGGAATCATTCGTGTCTTGGACGGGCGAGCACCCCGCCCCACCGGGTGCGGAGGTGAACTTCGTTTGCCTTCACCCGCGAGGGTTCATAGATGGCTTGAAGGTGCATCGTGCCGCCTGTTCGACGGTTGTAGCTGATGCCTGGAGCACGACGTTCATTGAAGGCGAGAGGGATCTTTGTCCTCGTGCATGTGAGCATGCTTTTTGGTTTCAGTCGACTTAGACACGAAAAATGTCCAAGTGCATGGGGAAAATTACTGGACACGAGCGACTTTGCTTTATAAGCCTGGTCACCAGTCCTCAGCGAGTGAGAGTTGAGCACACGGGAGTGATATGAAAATGTTATTCGAGGGATATGAAAATGTTATTCGAGGGATATGAAAATGTTATTCCCAACCATTCCGTATGCATAGGCTAAGGAAATTGGGGGAAATCGATTATGGATAAAAAAAATACGATTTTAAAAGAGAAACGGAACATTTCTCAAAATAGGTGACATTTTTCGAACGTTGCCCTGCATTAATGAGAGGGTGATGGTCCTTTTCGAAAGTCATGTATTTTGGAAACGCTTAACCGCTGGGGACTTAGAGCCCCGAGATTAAAGAAAACTAGCCAAGGTGAAGGTCATTCCAGGTTTTCATAGGTCTTCCTTGATGAAAGCGAAGTGAGTGGGGGTTTATTGCAGAGGTCGAGCCCGTGTTGAACAAGTGTCTTCTTTTAAGGAATTCTGAATGGCAGCACCCTTTCCTACTCACAATTTATCAAGTGCATTTCTTTTTTAAGCCAAATGGGACAATTTCAACATTAATGTTTGGTTGAACCACTAGAATATGACAAATACCCCTTGAACATCAAAGGAATTTTTCACTATAAATACTTTTTCTGGCATATTGGACTCATTCCTGGACTTCTGTGGCCCCATGACCCATAGATGGATTTACACTTGGCGAAGTGGTATATGTAATCTGCTAACAAATTGCCTAATTTCAAGTGTGACATATTTGGTTCCAAATGTCCCGAGGCGGAATGTCCCCCTTCCGGCTTCATATCTCGGTAATGGATTGCCTAAAAATAGGATTTGTATTATTCGTGTAAGAGACATTAGCTTGAGGGATCTGGAGAACCAGAGAGAAACCTTGTTACATGGAATAAGGAGTTAGCGGAATATCACGGATTCATCAGGAAGTTGACAGCTAGTCTGTCGAGCTGCAATGCATTCCATTGCGGCAATTTGCAGTATCGTGCATGACCGAGCACCCTAAGATGAACAACGTGGATGTGACATACGCGGCACGGGACGGGAAATACCCTGCGCCTCCGGGGCCCCGAGTCCCCCATCTACACCTGCCGTCGTTCCTCGGGGTTCACCGATGGTTCGCCCAAACATGTGGCCACCTGCTCCCTTCGACCCGACGACACTTGGGTAGCCACTTTTGACGGCAAGGAAGTTCGCTGTAGAGGTAAGTCGCTCCACTAATTCCCATAATTTTAAATATTCCCTCCATTCTTAGGAAACATCATGCCTAGCACTAGAATCCCTCAGGAACTCCATGCCTGATGGTATCACATTTATTTTATACATTCTTTGGAGTTCCATTCCTGCCAGGCATAGTGAGCCTAATCGCACCCCACGAAATCAGGAATGCGCGTAAGGGCAATCATTGTCGATTAATTTTTCTGTCCAGTTTTCTCGAAGAAATAAAAGCAATGCATGTAGAGAAGTGAGGAGAGGAAGAGCTCATGGTGTAATGGGAAGTTCTTCCTAAAGGGTAATTCCACGATAAGGTCAACCATGAGGCCAAAATGGAAACTGTAAATATTGCATACTACGAGCATGCACTGATAGATAGATAGCGGGATATAATAAAACGACCAGAATGTTAAAATAGTAACTCCCCAGAGTTATTATTTTAACCAGCCAATGGTCTAAAGAGTCACCCCCTGGATCTGCTTATTTTGTTCAAATGTTTGCTTTTCCAGGGCTAGTTTTTTTGTATTGCAACTGAACGACCTGATGAAAAACGATATAATCACAAGCAATATCACCTTCAGATATCATTAGGCACAGTCTCATGCTTCTTTCATGTATTTCAATAGACCAGACCTAAAGTAGAATAATGGTAATATGTTACGTTTGTCACACAAAATAAAAACCTTTCCATTTATGCCATCATCAATGGGGATACATCCACGAACTGAACATTTCCTCTTACCCCAGGTCCTACTCCTTATCGTAGATTGCTCGCATTCTTGATAGGACGATCTCCAGGCTCGGAGAGGGCGCGATAAACATATTATTTTGTGATTAATATAGCCATTCAATAAACCTCTGTAGTTCTAAGCATGCCCATCATCAGGGAATGTTATTGTGGTAAAGTATCTCCAATCTATCCATGCAAGTCAATGTATTAGGTTGTTCCGAAATAAATGTCCGATTTTCGAAGTTTAATGTTTTGTCTATCATTATACCTGTCAATTTTGCGATAACCAGTTATTGTTATATACCGTTTTTTTCAGCAACCACAGAAGCAATCGAATGGTAAGATAACCTAGATATTAAACTTAAATTGATGCTACCCAAAACGAGGCTGGACCGAGATGAGCCTCCCAAGCACTTCCCAAAGCCAAGCGCTCACCCGAAGAAGACTATGGTCACTGTATGGTGGACTTCAACAGGAGTGGTGCACTACCACTTTCTGAAACCTGGTGAAACGATCACAGCGGAGAAGTACTGTGACGAACTGGACACGATGCACGAGAAACTTCGCAAACTTCAGCCTGCATCGGTCGACCGAAGGGGGCCGATTCTGCTGCACGACAACGCCCGACCGCATGTCGCACATCTCACCGTACGCAAACTGAATCAGCTGGGCTACGAAACTCTGCCTCGTCCACCATACTCCCCAGACATATCACCGACGGATTAACACTTTTTCAAACACCTGGATCACTTCGTCAAGGAGAAACACTTCCATGATCAGACCTCTGCCGAAGATGCCTTTAAGGATTTCTACTCGACTGGGATCAACGAGCTTGTATCTCGTTGGCAGAAGTGTGTTGAACCGGATGGTGCTTACTTCGATTAAAAATGTTCATTATCAGCTGAGTTACGACCCTTCAAAGTTTGCGATCGAATTCGGACATTTATTTTGGAACCGCCTAATAAATCATGGTAAAGAAAGCAGTCGGAGGGAAGGAGAAAGTAGCGCGCCGAGAAGCCAAGAAAAGAAGAATCTTCATTAGCGGGTAAATTGCATCATTACGTATACAGGGTGAGTCAAAAGTCACCGGACGACTTTGAACAGTTATAATTCGGTCATTAATGACTTATTTTGCAAATGGTTTGGTGTATGTTCAAGAGCGTCCTTTTATTGAACGAATAATATGAACATTTGCAAGAAATGCTAAGAGAAAATGAGAATGAATAAGCACAAAGCAATAAGCAACATTTTTCAACATAAAATTGAGATTTAGGGTAGAACGGACTCCCTACTAGCGGTCAGTTTCAATTAATTTTTGCTGCTCCAAAAGGTCCAAAGGGCATATATAATGTCATCAAATCCTGTTACGTGTGAACTAAATTACTTAGTAAAGTTTATTTCGGACACTAATGCAGCTCGAATTACTGCTGAGGGAGTTATGAAGGCATTCCGTTTTGAAAGCGGAATGATAACATCTTTTTTGCAAGGCACAAGGAAACATCTAACAAGGGGACAAGAATAACGAGAGAGTGGAAAAAGAAAGCTGTATACCACACGTTCCTGGTAAATATACCGTAATAAATCTGGGTGTGTGCTCAAATAAATTCTCCTGATGGCGGGTTAATGGACTGGTGTTTCCACTTCGTCTGAAAATCAAACATTTCTGATCCGGCCCTCTTTAGCCTCCATTTGGCGTTTTAGTGTCAATGTCAACTTTACAAGCATTGCTTGTCACTTACCATTCTCCGTTTACCTGAAACATTCCGGTCGTCGATGATCTCTTCGTCTCTTAGATGAGCTACTTTATCCGGAATGCCGACTGACGGAGATGGGGAAGGAATACATTCGGACCATGCACGTGACGGCGACCGGAAAACCCTGCCTCAGATGGGATTCCCCGGATGTGAAAATGTTCTACTCTACAGTTGCGACGGGGTTCGATAAATACATGTTTTTCGAAGAACATTTCCTGAACCAGGACCCGTCCTCCCACAAGAATTTCTGCCGGAATCCGACGTTGAACAATGTGCCCTGGTGTTTCGTCGAGAATGACGACTTGAAGTGGGAATATTGCTCGATTCCGTTCCGTGATGATCTGAGTAAGTGTCTCCCTGATACTCAAATACATTCATCAAGGAAGAACATTTGCAGGATGCTACACAAAAATGTAATTATGCTCTGCATTTCTTGATTTCTTTCCGAACTTCGCTGTTGTGGCATAGGGATAATTTTTGGAACTCCTGCTTACAATTTTAAATAGCAAAATCCTTCCAAGGAAAGCTAGGATTATCTATTGAAATGGAGATAATATGTTCCATTTACTTGCAGCAATTATAAGCACCTTGCAGACAGGGATCCATTTCATGCGGGTGAAGGGAAGAAAATAATCCTTTTCGAAGATCAGAAAATAATGTTCCAGGTCAGGTGTGATGAAATTGAGAAAAATGAAGAATTCAACATATAAATAACTGTAGGAAAAAAGATACGGCCTCGCATTCGTCAATAGCTCTCCAACTGAAATTCAACACTTACCAGCAATCCATAACTCAAACTGTGCAAGTCCAATAGAGGAATACTGGACTAAATGTTTCTATTTGCTTAATATTCCTTCAAAACCCCACCTAGAGAAAGAAAACTAAACATAATATTCAGATCGCCAAATGCTGTTTGATCGCATTCATGAAATTATTTACGAAGATTGCATGAGATTGCATTACTCATATGTAATGGAAAGAATGGAACTAGATGGCAAAGAAATTACTCACCAACTTGAAGCAGCGCTCTTAAATTTGCGCGTTTTTTTTTACATATATACCGGAAGCCAGGAGGACGTGAGAAACCTCATTTTATTATCATGGAAAATATTCACATGATTTTCTTCATTTGTCTAGATGACTTAAAGAAATGAAAAGGTTGCGTTTCTACAAATAAGAATGCTGATTTTTTTTAAGCTGCACCAGAATGCAAGAAGACTCAAAAGAGAGCTGAATACGTAGGGGCACAAAACAAAGGGACTTCTGGCACTACTTGCCTTGCTTGGATTCGTCATGAGGGGGTGATTCCAGAGGAAATGTTTGCAATGAGGAGGCAGGCGTTCCCCGATAACCTCACGGATGAGCAAAACTATTGCCGAAACCCGACCGGGAAGCCAGGCGGTCCTTGGTGCAAAATTCCAGATCCCACAGACTCTGGGTATGACTGGGAGTATTGCGATGTGCGTCTCTGCGCTGGGGAAGACGCGAAGAGGACATGCGAGACGGAGGGCCGATGCGCGGCGAGTAAGTAACATGATCTAAAGATCTTACATTCGTTAAGCTTTTGGAATGTCAATACCGAATAGAATCAACATTCTTAATCCATCACGAATTTCAATTTATTGGTCTGGAAAGTTATTGATATGAATGCATTCATGATACTTTGGCCTCCAAAGGCTGGGAACTTTAAATTATTCTTAGATACTTCCATTGCTCAATTCTCGTCCCTTTTCGATACCTCAAGGTCGGAATGAATTGAAAAGCCATGCCTTTCAAAAGCGCATGAAAACATTATGGAATTTCACGTGGTCGTGAAAATTGGCAGCCTAACGAGAAAGAACCCAATTACTCAATATTCTTACATTATAATCCTACTCGATACTTACAATGTGCTATTGTAAATATCATGTAGAAACGATTACAGAAAAAAGCGTAATATATATTTATTTGTAAGGTATCATGAATGTAAAATTATCCCGATTTCGAATGAATTTGGACAGTTTGAACATTGTCCCTAGCATTGTCCAAACAAGAACATATATTTTACAGGTGGAGTAGAGGCTTTGCACATATATCCGGAATGCAGAATGACGCCAATGGGGAAGGAATACAGAGGAACCCACAGTCAAACAGAAAACGGAATTGAATGCCTGTCCTGGGGTGATGCCACAAAATTTTTGGATATAAAATCGAATGATCTGCTGGATTTCCTCTACTCTTATCACCCTTACCACGAACGCGACGAAGTACCGGAGAACCTTCAAAAGGCCTTGCTCAAATTGATTGAAAACCAGGAGGTAAAGTACTGCCGGAATCCTGCGAGGGCCGAGCGGCCATGGTGCTTTGCCTCTGAAGGCCCTTTGCGCAGGAAATATTGCGATATTCCCTTTTGCAAACTCCCAAAAGGTCTGCGATGCTTCAAGCATTTGAATTGAACACTTTAGGCAACGTGGGTTCATCATTCTCCGAACATATTCATTCTGTTCTGAAATTGTCAGAATCTTCACAAATAGTAGGTATAAAGTATGATTCAGGGGTTCCTGATATTCACATGAACCATTTCGATTTTTCCATCGTCTTATGTCATAGCTTGAAATATTTTTTCCTTTATTACAGTAGACAGTAATGACTTGCGAGTTACAGTGAGATGAGACGTCACAAATTAACGAATGGGGAATTCATACAGTTAATTCCAAAAGAAAAATGATTGTGATTAAAAACGAACTGTGTAATTACTGCTAATTGCCAAGAACAGGAAATGTAATTTCTTCTGTTAACCCTCAGAGCCCCTGGAATGTATATCGACCAAAGAGGGACTGGATTATGCGGGATTCCTGAACGTTGACTCAGACGGTCGGAAGTGTCTACCCTGGTTGAGTCGGGCACACGACAAGCGATTTGCATTCATGGACTTGATGACATTCCCTGATGAAAACATGGATAGCAGTCGCGACTACTGTCGGAATCCTGACGTAGACAGCGGCAGTCCATGGTGCTTCATTGAGGGAAGTGGCGAAAGATGGGGGCATTGCACGGTCCCTTTCTGCTCTCAATTGTATGAGCGATTCGCCATCGAGGGTAATATTTTGTGTTCGTTCGTGCTCATGGTGCTGTTACCTTTATCTAATGCAAGTGTTTCATGAAAGAAGAACTAAAAGTAAATCTATCAATGTAATTAATCCTTCATAGCCATATCCCACAAGGAAAATCTTTCACTGTCTTATTTTGCATTGCGTTTTGGGTAGCATCAATTTAAGTTTAATATCTAGGTTATCTTACCATTCGATTGCTTCTGTGGTTGCTGAAAGGATAGAGTTAATCTCGCGTCTGAATTGCTCTAACTGGACAGTCGTTCACAACATGTTAGATAGTTTCAGGTTTCAAGTTTCAAGGTCTAATCTTACGGAAAGCAATCCTACGGAAGAAGAGAAGCAAGTCTGAAAGGTGGAAGGCGAATTTCACGTGTTTCGAAGATTTTCACGTGTAAATTCTGACAGGTGAACCTGCGGAAGGATATCCGGAATGCTTGCAGACTACAATGGGGAAGGAATACTTTGGCACGACGAGGAAAACGAAGACCGGAAAGCCCTGTCTTCGGTGGGATTCCCAGCCCTATGGAAAGCCTGAAGACTTTCGCCCGAATATACCTTATGAGGCTCATTTCCGATTCGGCAATTCCACGTTGCATCAGGATTTCTGCAGAAACCCGACGTTCAGGCACCAACCTTGGTGCTTCATTGAAGATGGAAGCGTAGGATGGGAATTCTGCCAAATTCCTTTCTGCCTCGACTACCCCAGTGAGCTCACTCCATTATGTTATGTAGGATTCCGGATTGATATTCACACAATTTAACACCACCTAACCTCGTTGGAAGTAGATTCCCCGTTACGGTCCCAGAGCGTTTCTGGGTTGCAAAAATAGATTTCAATTTCCGCCAACCGTGAGATGTTCCGAATTGACTACAATGCAGCCTTAAATGGGAAAAGGAAAACTTATTTAAACTATCGCACAGTTTATCTGTCGTTGCTCTTATGAATTCTAAAATTTGATTCGCATGGTAACCGAGGAAAAGTTTTCTTCCGATGCTACTGTCCTCTCGATGTCGATTATTGATCGTTTCCTTCTATTGAACCGGAAGATATATTCTTTTTTTCTTAAAAGTAATTAGTACAGGAGATTTTCTCTTTTGATAGTTCCGCGTGCCACGCCCAATACGGCACAAATCACTTACTGATGCTTCCTCCAGCAACGGATGACATACCCCAATGTGTCCAGTATTGTTTACGACTGGACGGCCCGCTTTCCCAGGGACACATCTTCGGAGTCATTCATCTATATCTCGCAATTATATTTCTGTATTTTTTTATTCTCTCCATCAGACAAAACGGAATGCAGATGGACGAAAGAGAGAGAAGAATACGCAGGAACTCGAAGTAAATCATTTACGGGGGAAACGTGTATGAAATGGCAAGAATCCGCATTGCTGGAGAGACTTTGGCACAAATTCCCAGAGGACGTTAGGAACGAGAATCACAACTTCTGTCGCAATCCGGATGGGCGTGAGACCGGGCCCTACTGCTTTGTCCAGAAAGCTTTCAACCCCCAAATTGAAGCTTGTGACATCCCTTTCTGCCCTTTCCACTACTACTACTAATGTTGCTACGTCAATGAAGGATGTATTGTGGTAATGGAAACGAATGGGTGTTCACGAACAGCTGGTCGCACCAATTTTCCTTGCTATATGTTCACTGATCGACACCGGCGTTGTAGCGCGTATTCCAACTCAGCTCCTGTCGTCGCTTCGCTCCTAAACTAAGGCCTGATGAACTGGTTAACTCTGGAACTATGGTTCTGGGGTTAATATACCGGGCCCTACTGCTTTGTCCAGAAAGCTCTGAACCCCCAAATTGAAGTTTGTGATATCCCTTTCTGCCCTTTCCACTACCTCTACTAATATTGCTAAGTCATTGAAGGATGTATTGAGGTAATGGAAACAAATGAGTATTCATAAACAACTCGTTGCAATTTTTGGTGCCAGAGGTAGTGTATGTTTTCACACGTACACTTCCCCTGTGGAAGTTGGGAGTTCAGATTATTTCCCCATTTTTTTATATTTAATTTTGATATTCATAGACTTTACTCATTATAAGTATGTTCTTATTATCTACGTTTTATTCGAATACTTTTTTCGCCCGCAACTATAAAAAGGACGGGGAAATATAAGCACAAAATCGAAACGTGCCGTACCTGGACTTTAAATTCCCTGTGTCCTATCCAATGAAGTAAAACAAAGTCCGCAAATGAAATCTTCCTGTGAAATCGATTGAGGGGGACATATTGCATCTTTTTCATTTCAAGGGTTAAATTAGTGCATTTCGAAAGGGAGGGTGTGAGTTTCTTTCATTCCAATTTTCTTTCTCCTTTTTCGGTGTCTATTTCTGCTTCTTGCCTCTGTGCAGTTCCTAGCTTTTTCCCTGCAAGTAAAAGAATACCCCAATGAAGAGAACTCCCTGAACATCTCACCGAATTATATTTTTCGAATTATTGCTTTAGCATGTAGCGATTAAGGTTTTAAACCCACTGCCACCTGAAGTGCCAGGGCGAGGATATTCTTTCTCGCCTTTACCTTCCAGCCAAAGGTGCCGCTCTTGCACTTCATCATACTGCACTCTTCTTTCTCATTTCCTTGTAATTCGAGCCCTGTAAGTTACTCTCGGCAAATACGTTCCATAACTCAAAACTCGACGCTGCAAATGCAGGACGGTAAATGTGACCATGGTGACGTTCAGCAGTAATTCGTATTAATTGAAACTCTCACAAGGGTTTTTTTTTGGGTATCTGGGACTATTACATCCAAAATGGGCTGCAAACTTCACGGTTATAGCCTTTGGAAAACAATGCCTGGAAGTGAGATGGGGAAGGTCAATATAAATATGAATGAAGAAGCTGCTCACCAAGCTGCAAATCAATGTCATCCACAAGCGCAACTTATGAATGGCATTTATGGAACCGTATGACATTAGACACTTCCAACCTTTAGCACCTAAATGTAGTGATAGTCAGCCTGCATATCCGTTTCATTATAAGGAAATGCCTTATAGATATGGGCCCGAGGAGGACGCACACGCAAGGGATAGGTTAAAAGTCCCTCAGGCTATAATTAGTTCATGAGGGGATTCTTTCAAGATGATTCCCTGAAGCCCTCTTACGTTCTACATTTACCAAAAATCCATCATTTGCCAGAGATTGCACGAGGTTGGGCCAATCATTGACGTCCGCAGAGAAGCAGAATCTCATGAGAGTTCCCGAAATTCCAAGAAAAAGATAGTCCAAGTTCTAGGGGAGCAAGTGAATTGCCACTTTTTGAACTAACCGAAAGATTTATTTCCCTCCTGTTCCTATTCTTAACTTATGTCCGGCAATGACTTTCCTAATTTGAAACTGTTTATGCCCTTCGAATATCATCAATCAGCTTGGAGCACCTGCTTGAAATGTAGCCTTCACCAATATTCTTCGAATTCTCCTAGTTATACTAAACGTGTATAGGTCCGCTAAAATTCGTATTTATTTCATCAGATTCATCTCTTATATTCGCTATGTTAATGGAAGTGTCCAAAAGTAATTGAACCTTGAAACGCAAGAATTATCAAGTAATACGTTTCCGGTAAGCATCATGAGAACCAAAGCTATATACCACAATAAAGATCTGTGCATAAAAAAATCCGGAGATTCTGTACCAGATTGGAAAATGATGAAGACCGCTCATAAATGTTCCAAGAGCTGTTTTGGGCCAGGTAGCGTTAAAATGGATTCACGTACGAAACGGTGGAATCGATATCATGCGAGCAAAATGCGAAACTCAATGAAAGAGAAAAATGGAATAAAAGTACTTCACCCCAGGAGCTCGTTGCTAAGTGTAACATAGCAGTTGCCAGGGAGAACTCAGCATGGCATCACTTATCAAAATGTCACATTATCAAGGCAGTATGTTCGCAAACACGAGTTCTCCTACTTTCTTCATTGCGGTTATGGATGAATTGCCGTCGTTTCCTTAGATTAATGTGTGCATGGAACCAAATGTTTCTCGCCTGGCACACATGGCACAAAATCTTCAGGGAATGACAAAGAAAAATGCTAATATCTACTACACGATCATTGAGAGATTGTTACTGATAACATTGCTCTGAAGAACAAATTGACCAAATATCTCGAACGTCTGATAATTTCATAGCGCTCTGAAGAAAATGTTCATATGTGAAAATATTCGCAAATGGTTTATTATGCCAGGATCATAGTTTCACTGAAGCATCAACATCTACCTAAAGTCTCGTGCTGATACTTGAACGCTGTCACAATAAGGTTTTGCGACTCTGTAGAAACTCAACGGAAGAAACGGAAAGCTCTGTCGTAACGATCACCTTATCGAGTGTCGTCTAAAATGGTTTGACGTCAGGCAACGTCAGACGACACTGGAAAATTTGCGGAGACATTGCATTTGGCGACATAAACGAAACGAAGGAAAAAAGTGGTCATGTATGGTAATGGTTACAGGTATATGTCACGTGGTCCAATGTTAAGCCTTGCCACATTATAGGCGGGATTAAAGGTGGACACTTCCTCCACTATACCCATATTCGAGACAGGTTCCGGGATCTTAGACGAAAAGAAGCTTGTCTTCAAAAATAGTAGCCCGTACCAGGCAACTTGTGCCGCACAAAGTGACGTCGAGTGACGAAAGAATAAAATTGGGAGGGGGGTGACAGATTGATCGCATTATCATTCATTCTCTGATAGTATCCATGATAATGACAGATAATACTGCATCGAAATTGAATGACTCAGAGGAAGACAAAAGAGTAGGTAAATCTTGCTTGGGTGCTACTAACCAAAACCGAGAAGGATCCGATGGGAAGGCCCCGTTATCTCAATCAGCGTGTTGACTATTGCTCAGTGCGGGGTCAAGAGACGCGTGTGGGAATCCAGAATGGTCCTTATTTTGACCCAAGTTTGGTGTTCTACCTGGGGACTGATGGAACTTTTTCCCTTCGTGCCAGCAAACTCGAAATAATGTGGCCTGTCGCGCATGACGATGCAAGTAATTCGAGTAATTCCTGTGAAACATAAAAACTAGGCTTTTGCAACTTCCTAACTCAGAAAATTCCACCGATTTGATGGCTTTGGTCATTGTGACAACAATGTTGAAATAAGATAAGAAGTGAAATAGCTGGCTTTATCCAGAAAATTCAGCAACGCATGGCCTCTTTAAAAATTCCAATTCATTTTTCCTTAGAGTGGAAGCATACGTCCGTTCTGAGTAATCTTTCTTTAGGAAAGCCTGATGCCATGGATGTAATATGGTGGGGCACTTCGGAGAGTTCCGAGGAAGCCAGGGAAGAAAAATTACCTTTTTGAAGCAATCAATTTGAAACAAGAACTTTTCACGGTGTTCAACTACTTCACTTCAGGAAAGGGGTCTCTTGGTTACTAAGAGGTCTCTCTCCAATCCTTTTCCCTATGACCAATGGTGCGCACGCACTTGCGACAAACCTGGATTCGCCAGGTCGCCAAATCAATGAATTTCCCAATATCGAGCATAACCTCTTATTGCATATTTAGGGGTTTCCCGGTCAGCCCGCGAAGGCGTTTAAGCGCTTCTAATCCATACCGGAGTTATTACCCCGGTATCGGACAGCAGAGTGAGGAACGTAACTCATCACAAAAAAGAAATACTATAGCATTCCCAAAGGGAGTACCAAGGAGTTTGCTCTTTAAATGCTTGTGTAACAATTTCATGAAATGACACCAGAATGAAGCTTGTATCTTACCTGGAAGAGAAGTTATTGCAGAAACAG